TTTTTGATAATAAATACCTATAAAGCAAAAGTTTATCAAATAATAGACACTGAACTGTTTGTTTTCTGTAGAAAAGATTGCTTTCCTTTTCCAAAACAGTACCGATATTTGGCTGGTTTTGGACACAGCCCATTTCACTTTATTAAAAATGTTTCTTCAATTTGGGCATAAGAGTCTGTGCCAATTTGAAAATAGTGGTGAATATCTGTAGCTCAGGTGTCGGATGAGGATGAAGGCTCATTTTCCAAGCTTTTGTGTTGGTTTCCAAACGTTTCGTTACCAGGCTAGATAACATCTCCAGCTGAGTTCAGGAGACTCTGCTGAAGATGTTACCTAGCCTGATAATGAAACGTTCAGAAACCAACCCTCAAGCTCGGAGAACAAACACTTCACCCTCAGCAATTAATTTGTGAACGTTGTAACATGCGTGCAGCCACCATATCTTTTTTCCAGCTAACTTTCTGTTGTTCATTTTGCATTGCAGAGTAAAGAAGTTGGACAGCAACTCCAAGAAGACCTGATGAAAGTCCTGAATGAGCTCTACACGGTAAATCCATTTGGCTCCCCCCCCCCTCTTTTTAGAAAGTAACAACATATTAAAAAGTTTGACTTTCCTCTGTGTGTTACAAAAATGGCAATAAAGCACCAGAAATTATTTTCTTCTATTGTTTCATTTTAATTCTCTGGTTTCATCCCTGTTGCCTTTGCTGCTGGTGTGGGATTACTTTCTACATTGAGTGAACATTGGTGAGTGTTTAGTTAAATCATTGGGCTCTTAATTGAAAGATAGTATCAGCTTTGAAGTCAGTTTTGGCTGCAAATGGACCAAACACAATGGTTTCTTTCATCACAAATGTAGGAATGCATGAGGCACAAGCTTTTGTCCTGCAATACACATGCAATAATTATTTGCATTAGATGCTTGTATAACTTTTTTTTAATTTGGCTTTTTAGAATCTGACTGGCACAAAAGGAGGCATGTGCTCATAAAAATTCTGGGCATCTCTTCTTTCATGCTTGAATTGGAAATGTTTAATATTTATTAAACCTGTTTCAGGTTTACTGAAACTTCGCAACTTAGAGCAAATTACTTCTATTTTTAAATTTAGGCTCTTTGAATGTTTTCTTTGAGGCATTTCCCCAAACAGCAGACAGTTTTTGGATTTTGTTTGGTCAGCTAGGGTGATTGCATTGGCAAATATTTTTCTCCACACCCAGTTGCCACATGAAAAGATGTTTCACAGAAACTCTTGAGGCAAAAGCAATGAGACCCTGCCATGAAGTAGAACTAGTAATCATGATGGTCTAGATACAGGCTGATGTTGCAATTTTGTCTAATTTATATGAATCAGCAAATCACACAGGGATAAAGGTTATACCTTATTATAGGCAAATGTTGGGAACTGCCTTTTGACAGCTGCAAACCTAAAACCTTTATGTGGTGTTTATTATTATTATTATTAAACTGAATTCCAGCTGCAGATGTTCATCATTTTGAACATACAACTGGTATGGTGACATTCTAGAAGTGCTCTAAAAATGAATAGAGGGTGTGCCTTGTTTGTGGCTTTTAACCTTGCTTTTTAGAAAAAAGGAATAGTTAACCCTAATAAAGCCACTAGAACAAGGGTGTCAGACTCGCAACATTACGTGATGTGTCGCAACATATCATGACTTTTTTTCCATTGTTGGCAATGGGGTGGGCACAGTTTCACCATGATGCATCCGGCCTGCAGGCCGGCAGTTTGACACCCCTGGACTAGAGAAGTCCTATTGGTAGGATTTTATACTGATTTGTAACAAATTCATTGAAGAAATGTAATTGCTAGGGTCCAATGTAATGTGACTGCTAAGAATTTTAAGTATTGATTTGTTTTTTCCCTTTATGAATGTACATAGATACATACATATCACCTGGCAATTTTGACTGTGAGATACTTTTACATGAGAATGAGTAATACTAATGAACTTTTGGGGAAAAACTATGAACGTTATTGAAAATAATGGTAAACTGGGGCAGGGGATTGACAAATTTTAATGGTGTATCCAGAGCAGAGATAACTTTATATAAAGAAGCCACGCTGAGTACATTTGGAAGGATGGGAGAAAGAAACCATGAGTTAAATCTCTGAAGATATAGAAGTCAATTATATTTTTCAATGGATGGTCAGAAATTTGTACTTTCTATTAATATAGCATTATAATAAAGTAGAATTAATTCACTATTAGTTCATGTTTCCTGTCAGGTTTACCTGGGAAGACTGATATCAGTCTTACAAGAGTGAAAGTACAAACTTCCCACTATCACCTTTAACTGCTTAATCCATCAGGGCAGGTCCTTCCTAAGTTTCTTTCTCTGACCACTAAGCCCCTGGATTTATGCCTCTGTTGCCTGATTGTTTCCTAGACAGCATCTCTCCACCTCTTCCCATAAAGTCATCCACACATTTCATTACAAATGATCTTTAAAAAGAAATCTAGATTTGTACGGTGAAAGAATAATAACCCTTTACCAAATAGAAAGCTTTACTTTTGAGAATAGGAAGATTAATTCCAAAACGAATTGAAACAATGAAGGAGGTATGGCACAGATTTATTAATCTGGATAATTCTTTCTTTATTGATTGATTAACTATGTATGCTCACCTACCTTACGCAGCATAACTCTGATCAACAACATACAGGTAGTCCTTGCTTAATGACCATTCATTCGTTTCACACAATCAAATTACTGTTACATTCCTATTGCAAAACTACATGTGCTGGGCTCAACTCTCAGTTTTGCGTTGTACCTGCAAGAAGGGCTGAGTGTTAGCCACATTCTGGAAGGCAGTAACATTTGCAGTATCCTTATTTATCTATTTAAATTTTAACAGCAAATTAAATATCCTAGCATAGAATTCATATTTCTATGAATAGAATTCCTAGAATTTATATTCTGCAATTAATGTAGAAATTACATTAATTTGCTTTTACTAATTTATCTTGAATTCCATCAGTTTCTTTCTTAAGCAGTTTCTCTAAGTCAGCAATCTGTTGCTAGATTATACCTCACAGCATCAATTAGCAATGATTATGCTGATTTGGGTTGGAAATTAAGATTCAGTAAGATCTACATTGCTCATCCTTGAGGATGACAACAAGAAAACATGGAATAGGCAGAATGTATATCTCATTCTACCAGTGAATCTCTGGCTTATTTACAGGAGATGAGCAAGGATTTCTGACTATCACTTTTAATCTGCCAGAAAAGCAAAATGAGATTCACTCATCCACACAATGGACATCCGCATGTCCTAAATCAGATCTGAGCAACTTTTCAAGGACAAAGACTGTTTTTTGGATTTTTAGGAGTTGGGGATGACACATTGAACAGACAGTGTTTTTCCCCCCTCTAATTAAGAAGCATATTAAACTATGTTGCATAAGCAGTTTTTTTTTTAGCGTTAGTTGGCAAGCAAACTAATTGCACTGCATTACTCCATGAATTTTCAAACATTGTTTGATTAGCAATTTTAAACAGCCAAGGAATAGTTTTTTCCTGTATTGAAGACAGCAAAAAACAAATCTAAGCCTGCATATTTTAGGATCATGAGGTGAATTTGATTTATGTGTTTCCTGCTCTATTTCTAAGTCTACCTATTTCCTAAATTAAGAGTTAAGGAAGAGATTACAGAGTTCTGTGTCAATTTTCTCTCAGTCAAGTTAGCAGCTGGCTTTTCTCTATGTTGTAACATCTTGGATTGTCATCCCTTCAATTCCATTGAAGGTCATTTGTGTTGAGTAGATTTTCTCCCATTCAGACTCCCAGTCTTCAGTTGATTTTTTTATTGATAAACGTTTTTCTGAAATATAAAGAATTACGTGTTTCCTCTTTCAGAGTTTTGTGTTATCACTCTCAATTATACATCAAAGGCATCTATGTTCAAAGCAGAAAGAAGACTGAAATCTGTTACTCTTATATATGGGAAGATTATACAAAGTTCTTAAGAAGTTTCTTTACACTCAGGAGTCCATTAAGCTTTGTTGATTAAGACTGCGAGGGCAATAATGATCTTAGTTTTTCTTGGTAGTTGAAGGCTGCATCTATTAAATAATTTGCATCTTCTTCTCTTCTGGCTTAACTTCTTTCTGACACCAAAGATATAATCTAATTCAGAAAATCCTTGGTAACATTCCACTGCATTGATGCAGTGGAAATTTACCTTTCCATTTGACTTAGGAGAAATCACTATAATTATATTCACTGAATTCACCGTATGAAAGTTCAACAAAACTTAATTCTAGCATGTTTTGCATTTCTTTCTTCAGTGTATCTCTAATTCTCTAGAACAGTGTCCCCCAATCTTTTGGACACCAGGGACCGGTTCTGTGGAGAGAGGTTTTTCCATGAATTGGAGGTGGCGTGGTTTCACATGCTTCCTGCATCTCGCGGATGGGGCTTCTCTTGTTTGCGTGGCCTGGTTTCTGGCATGTTGTGGACCAGTCCGAGTCCATGGACTGGGGTTTGGGGACCCCTGTTCTAGAATAGATGTTTCTGCTTTATTGTGTTTGCATCTCTGGTAGCATGTTTGTGTTGTACTAATGCAGCCTGGGTTGATTGTAAATACTTACTTGACATATTCTAACAGTGGTTCTAAGTTTGCTTTTTGTTACAAAGATAAGATATGTGTCTCTTCATACTTTCTGTGCATCTGGCACATAACTATCAATTTGTTTTGCTAGATCTTTTAATCTATATATTCCTAATGAAGCAACATACTTTCTTAAAATTTTACGACTAGATGGTTTTTCCATTTCAAATCTACTTTGTGATTTATGTACTCCATTTTTGATCATCATAAGTGAGCTTTGCCACCTACAGTAGCTTAAATGTGTATTCTTGAGTAGGCAACGAAAAGCAACACTTTTTCTTCTACCTCTTGAGAGCCTTATATGATATCAGTCTTATTGTGCAGTTATTCCTGAAATATGCCATTGAATTTTTTGCCCTTTTGTGTGTGTGTGAGAGAGAGATAACATAATCAGAATCTTTGGTCCTGGAAGTTCATTTGATCCAGGACTCCTCTTGGTTTTTTCCGTGTAGGAAATCAAAAGGACTGAATCCCCTAAATGCCTATGGCACTTCTCTATAGGCAAATAATATATAGGGAAGTAAAGGCAATTTGGTGTAGTTGTTAAGGCATTAGGCTTGAAACCAGGAAACTGTTTAGTCACAAAACTAAGTGAGTGATCTTGGGCCAGTCGCTTTTTGTCAGTCCTAGAAAGGAGACAATGGCAAGCCACTTATGAAAACTTGCCAAAAAAGGACTTGTCCAGGCAGTCTCTGAAAATCAGACAATGACTGAACAGAAGAAGAAAAAATAGAAGGAAGTAGTCCATTCCAAAACGTTGGTATCATTTTTGTGCATTCTTGTTTAACATTTTGAAGAGTTTCCTTCAGGTAATCCTTCTATCTGAGTGTCATACTGAGAAGGTCTTACGTCCAGTATCTCCAAATCTGTGTACAAATTCTGAGTAGTTATTTTCTTAAAATATCAACAAAGTGAAGTTCCTCCATGAATCCTGGTTTTACATCAGACCTGAACAACTTTTCGAGGACAAAGTCTGAAGTATAGTATTGCAAAATAGGCAGGGCTGTATCATGGTCAGAGGCAAGTTTTTCTGTTGAGGCAATTGATCAACAGTGTTAAGTATAGGATAATCAAGAGTGGGCTTTTAAAAAAAAAATATGAGTTTTATTTTCTTTATTCAGTTGGGCTACTCAAGACAAACTCCTTTGCTCGTTCCTATAGGAAGGTGTGAGAGTTCTAATTAAAAGAGAGGGGGAGAAAGACAAGGCAGGACTGGCAAAATAGATGCTCATCTAGTATCTTAATATAATCCCTTGATGGGAATAGCGTGTGGTATTCATAATACTTAGACTCCCGGACTGAATCCTTATGTAATTGCTTTGACCCTGGACCTTGATGTCAGTCTTGGCAGAAAATATGGATCGACCATGTTGACACATCCTTAAATATATGAAACCATTAAAACTGGGACTTACATAATTTTGATGCCTTGTGCCAGATGTCTTTCACTAGAAGTAATGGGAATAGGGGTACATGGAAAGAATACTTCTTCCTCTTTAAGGCAATTCCAAATGTCACCTTTAATTCTGTTCATTGATAATAATTCAGAGTTACCGTATAGATAAATTATGCTTCCTTTAATACTGAGTGGGTTAGCATTTTTAACTGTTACTTTTTCCTGTAACTAAGGAGTGTTGATTTAATTGCTCCAGAAGGAGTAACGAAATGAGAACATATATTCCACCTAACAAAAATTACGGTCAAGTTCAAATTGAGGTGAAAGAAGACTCAGGGGCTTGGTGCTTGCAAACTGGAAGGATTTGAGGCCAGAGTTGGCTTGCAGCAGGATTTTAAAATTGGAACATAGATCTCTTCTCTGTTTGAGCACACATTTACAAAGCAGTTATTATTAATATTTCATGAAGGTCTATGATGTAATTGGAAGGGTGCATCTTTTGCATCTTTTCAAGTCAGTTTGTAAATTTTATAATGTAAGCTACCTTGATCAGAATCTGTGGGAAAGAGAGGATATAACTGATTTTCAGTAAATAAATCTCTATTGTCTGTCTGTCTATCTATCTATCTATCTATCTATCTATCTATCTATCTATCTATCTATCTATCTATCTATCTAAGTTTTAAACATGTCTAGATGATGTGTTAATTAACCAGATCCTGAAGTTGAAACTCAAATACTTTGGCCACCTAATGAGAAGGAAGGACTCACTGGAGAAGGGCCTAATGCTGGGAAAGATTGAGGGCAATAGAAGAATGGGACGACAGAGAATGAGATGGCTAGATGGAGTCACTGAAGCAGTAGGTGTAAACTTAAATGGACTCCAGAAGATGATAGAGGACAGGAAGACCTGGAGGAATGTTGTCCATGGGGTCGCGATGGGTCAGACACGACTTCGCAATTAACAACAACAAAACTTTTGATATTTGATCTTTGCCAAGTTCAAAAGGTTATCAGGAGGGCCAAAATGCAAAGAAGGACAGGAATCAAAATATGTGGTTCAACTATTAGAGCTCACTTATTTGTAACAAATGCCAGTGAGAAAGGGAAAAGTCAGTATTGATCCAAAACAATGGAGGGACTGTAGAGAAACAAAAAGAAAGGCTGATTGTTAGCAGAGTCAGCCTCTGCTGTCTATGTTGCCTTTTGTATTGCTGAGCAGGATTAGCACTGATAGGGCATGGACTGCCATGCGGTCAGTTAAAAAGTGGTCTCTCTTCTAGTAATTGCTTTTTAAAGTAAAGATATCAACTTCCTGGGGAAAACAAAGGAATACTATTTAATGACCTTTTTCTCCTTGTCCTTATCCCCATATTGTCACATTCCAGTTGGAACAAGAATTATTCTTGTACTTCTTTCTTATCTGTTCATCTCTCTTTCCTATTTTCATCTGGCCTTTTATAGCCTTGTGCTAATAGGGTGTTTCACTTCATGCAGTAGACGTTAAAATCATTGGAGCTTTGTTGTATGGACTACAATAGAGATTTGCACTATGCATAATGACCCACATCTACTGATATTCAAACAAATATCAGAAACGTTCCTAAAAAATTTGGACATAATGTATTGATGGAACAGTAGGAAATACATGGCTGAAGGGACTGAAATTTACATTATGTTATACTTTAAAAGAGAATTTTATAAAGAGGTACAGGCTCCAGAAAAATTATTTAGAATGTATAAAGGTATTTTCAATTTATGTTGGAAATGCGAAAAACATGAAGGGTCATTTTATTGTGACAAAAAAAATTGGGGTTCAAATAAAGTTAAAAATAAAGAATTTTAAAGATTAATATTCATTTGAAAGCAGAAATTTTCTTTTTATAACTAATGGATAAACAGTTAGAAAAGCATTGTGGAAAGCTATTTTATATGTTATAATTGCTGGAAGATTATTTCATGCACAAAAATGGGAAGAATCTGAAATAACCACAATGGAGGAACAACTGCTGAAGATGATGCAATTAGCAAAGATGCAAAATTGACTTGTCTGACTAGAGAAAGAACAAAACCCATATTTATTAGTGACTAGAAACCCCTTATGGACTTTTTGCTAACAAATGAAAAAATGAACTTGTGATTTATGAGTTTGATGATTTAAAAAGATAGATTAGGAAAAGAAGATTATACTGTAACCCTAGAAAGAGAGGGTAAAATATAAATGTACTTCTGTTTCCAGTATCAAAAGCTGCTTCTTTATAACTTTTATTTTCTTTCCTTTTCTTCTCTATTTCTTTGCACTTTTTCACTTATTACTTCAGGTTTTTTTCAAAATTGTTATTTTTCTTTAAAACTTTTCTTTAATAAAAATTATATGTTAATAAGAAAGAAAAATCCCAGCAAACCTTGACAAGCAGAGTTAGGATAAAGTAGTGGAGGCCCTGGGTTAGCCATCAGAATCACATGAGAGTTTTAAAATGTTCCATACCTTTGCTGATCCTTTTGAGTTCTATAGGTAAATCTTATGACCATTCTTTCAGCAACCATTCAAAGTTACAATTGTGCTGAACGAGTATTGGTTATGACTGATCCTTGAGAGTTCAGGCCATCCCATAACCCCCATGGTCACATGACCATGATCTGGTGCTTAGCAACTAGTTTGCACTTAAGACCAGTTGCAGCACTCCGTGATCAGATTAACTGGGATAAGTCGTCCCCATCCACATACCCTCCCTTAGCCCCTCTCTGCTCATACTGCACCAACTAATTGTGCCCCCTCCTGAGCCTCATCGTTCCTCCCTTGCGCACCTTCACTGACCCTTGCTGCACCGGTTACATACCTTTCCTGACCCTAACCACACCTTCCTTGCTCCCTTTTTCACCCCCTTGCATCTTCATTGCATCCTCATGGACCCACCTTAACCCTTGCTATGGCTCTTTTGTACTCTTGCACACTCTCCACGAGTCATGTCACGCCTCCTTTCTACTTTTCCCAAGCCTTACCACACCTTCCTCACACCTTTGTATACCCCCTCGTGCCTTCCCCCACCCTGCAGTAGCCATTTAACCTGCCTGCCAGCCTGCTTGTAAGTCACCTGGGACTTACAACATCCTGCCAGCTTCCCCACTGACTTGATTGTGAGAACTGGCAAGAAGTTGCCTTGCCTAACAACAATGGGATTTGATTAAGCATGGCAATTGGGACTGCAGAGATTTCTGTTGCTAAGCAATGCGGTCACACTTTTACATCTGCATCATTTAGAAGTGGAAATTCTGGTTCCAGTTGCCACCATAAGTTAGGGACTGCCTGTATAGTAGGTGCATAGAATAGTTATAGGTATTTTTCTATTTGAATTTTAAGTTTACTTTGAAGGCATTGGTTGATTAATGTTCAGGTGTTTCCAAGTGGGATTTTTTTTTAAAAAAAGTAAGGTGGTTTATTAAGTGAGAATTGCCTTTGCAGGTAATGAAGACCTACCATATGTACAATGCTGACAGCATCAGTGCCCAAAGCAAGCTGAAAGAGGCAGAGAAGCAAGAAGAAAAACAGATTGGTAAGTCTGTGAAGCAGGAGGAAAAGCAAACTCCACGCTCCCCTGATTCAGCCTCCAGTGTCAAGTTTGAAGAAAAGCATGTCCGACGGAGCTCAGTCAAGAAGATTGAGAAAATGAAAGAGAAGGTGAGTGCACAACAGGGTTAACTGCTAGGTAATTGCAAAGCTCTCTTTACCAAGAGCAACTGCTGAGTGTTTGCTGCGAATCTAATACACAATAGAATATCTATCAGGGCGTTAAGGGAGAAGAGATATTTAATGGGGAAATAGCAGAAATACTGACCTAATGGCTCAGGGATTAACCTGAGGTCTAGAAACTATATTTAGGTATGAGTATTCATGAAATGGAATGAGGAGGTACAGGAATCAAAAGTCCAAGGAGGTCGTTTTGGCACTGATCCATTTCTTCTTATCCCTAGTCAACTATGTAAATGTGTTCAAATTGAAACTAATTTGCATGGTACATAAAGATACTATGTATCAAATAGTTAGCAATTTGATATTTAAATCTTTTAATTTGCAGAGGTAATGTAACATAGTGCCATAAGCAGAGAGACTATTTAAAAAGTTGGGAAAAGCTTAATATTTGCAGAAGACTACCTTGGATGTGTTGTTTTAAGAAGTAATAATCTTAATTGGAAATGCTCATTGTACTGAGATACAGAAATACAAGCACACTTTTCATAGGATCATGCATGAAACAAGTAAAGTAAATAAGCACAGCCAATGGATTTTTTTTCCCTCTTTTGTTCCTCAGTGCAGTATACAGATAGTCCTCGAGTTATGACCATTCATTAAGTGACTGACCATTGGTTTTCAAAGATAGAATGACACTGAACAAAGAAACTTACAACTGGCCCTTAAAGTTCCAGCCTTTGTAGCACCCCTACAGTTACATGAACAACATTCGAACACTTTAAAACCAACTTACACTTACTATATGACCAATTCCAGTGTTCCATGGTCACTTGATTGCCATTTGCAACCTTCCCTGCTGACTTAACAAGAGTAAAGTCAATGGGGAAACGTGCAGGGAAGGTCACAAATTGCTTAGGTAAGTCTCCCCCATCCCTGCCTTTCTTCGCTTGCATGCACTGTGGTGTCCTACCCCCCCTTTTCCTTGTATGCAAACACCACACCCTTCCTCCCTCTTTGCTCATTTGCACACACTACACCTTCTTCCCCCTGCACTCGCATGCACACACCCACCACTATCCTCCTCTCCCCTTCTCTCTCTCTCTCTCTCTCTCTCTCACACACACACACACACACACACACACACACACACACACACACACACACACCAGCGTCTTCCTTTTCCAGACCTGCTCTTGCAAGCATGCCCCCATCAGCATTCACCCGGACTTCCCTACATTTTCAGCCACCAGCATTCTCCTTCTTTGACTCTCTATTCTCACATGTACTCTGTGCCCTCCTTTTCCAGCCTTCCTGCTCTTGTGCCACACTGAAGCACTCCCTTCTTCAATTTGCATGCAGCTTGTATAGGGTGGATCTTCCCTGTCCCTGTGTGGCACTGTTGCTCTCTTTACCTATGGCTCCTGTTATTTCCTGCCTGCTTAATGACCCACACATCTTGAGATTATGACAGCAACTGGGACTGCCTGGATCATCATCACTAAATGATGTGGTCACATGATTTCACACATTACGACCTCATTACTTAACAATAGCAGTCCTGGTCCCAATAACTCAAGGACTACATGTAATTTGTCCTTATAGGAAGATTTACTGTAGGTGACATACTGGGTTATTGCATCACTGGCTATTTGCTATGCAGTGAGTTGTGAATGAGATTCTTGATTCCACAGTCTCAGCTGTGGAATTTCCTTTTGCTTCAGATGCTGTTGACAGCTAACATCGTAAATCTTTGGTGACAGTTTAAGACCTCTTCATCAAATATTTGGGTAGACAGGTGCTGCTGTGCCTTCCCATCTGGTTTAGGATTATACTGCATTGTATTTCGGATTTCAGTTTTTAATAAATAATTAGAGCCATAGAGCTTATTTCTAATTATTCTAATTTATTGTAAAATATTTTTAAATGTTACCCATTTTGGATTTTTTCAAGTAAAGAAATCAATCAATAAATATTGAATTAATTTTAACTTTATGATGGTTTAAATTATTAATGTTCCATATATACAGTATTCACATATTGATTGGGTTAGGTCAGGAAGGCCTGTTTCCTATTCTTCTGGGCAGAGGAATGTAAATATGTGTGTGGGCCTAGGCTTCCAGCTGCCTAGTGCAGACGGTATATTAAATTCTAGTGATACATGATCGGTCTCTATAATTTGGAGGATTTGGGTATCAGACCTTTGTTCACACTTGGCTCTTTAGTGCCTTCTGCTGATGTCAGTCCTGTGTGTCCATATCAGAGCCAAATAAAATTCTGCAGGGATCTTCAGGTTACAAACATACTTCTAGGATTGGATATATTAACTTTATGTGTTCCTGTGAACCACTTTTTGGCCATCTATGGATTAGATCACCTTCCTGTCTCTTCAGGACTCAACAGTTCCTTGAATCGTTGTTATATGATGATGCATTTGTTTTGCCTAAAAGTGTCAAGATTTCTTAGTCTGGGTTAAAAAGAAAGTGAAATGATTTCTTGATTTTGCAGAATATTTTTTCCTTCTTTCAAGGTGATTGCTTTATTCATTTTAATTATTTTATAATAAAAATCCATTTGTATATTTTTCAGCGCCAAGCAAAATACACAGAAAATAAACTGAAGGCTATTAAGGCAAGAAATGAATATCTGTTGGCTCTGGAAGCCACCAATGCATCTGTATTCAAGTATTATATCCATGACCTGTCAGACCTCATTGATGTAAGTGTACTTTGGTGGTGTATTTCCAGAATGTTTCTGCTTTAAGCCTCATTATGTTGTTCTCCTCAGTTAATTTCTTCAGTGGCAGAAGTTCATATGGAGATTTTATCTTTTATCTGTGTTCCATTTAATTATTGAAGGACAACAGCATTTAAACACAGCACTAATTAAATAGCCAAACCAAATTCTGCAATTGTCAGGTATTTCCATTATTTTAACATTATTTTTGGAGTGTGCACTCCTCAACTTTTGTAGAAAGCTTTGGGAACAACCTTAATTTGCATGCATCAATGGGACATACTATAAAATAGCCATGTCTTCATCTCATAGTTTTTTTTATAAATACCTTATGTTTTCTTCTTATTTTTTGTATTGACTTACTGCTTGAATGATTTCCAGGAATTACAACAGAATGCGTAAAATGGTTTGCAATTCATCTTAAATGTCTGAAAGATTTAAACAACCTCATTTATCCAAATTATCTTGAAACCAACCCAATTTGTTGAGATGAATGGTGAATTTTCTTAAGGTTATATAGGAATGCATGAAGTTTACACAAAGAATATATCAACATTTCTCCTTATTCAATGACTCTACAGCTGGTCTTTCTTCTAGGATACACATGCTGGCATATTTAACATGCCTTACTGTGTTTTTCACCATAGCAGCCAGTCCTATAAGATTGGGCTGAGAAACAGAAAATATTCCTAAGTGTAACTTGTCTTTTCAGTCCCAATTCAACACATTAAGGAAGGTATGTGAAATAAATGTTCAAACAAGCAAATCATTGGCCTCCTCCTTCAGCACAGTGCCTATAGAAGGCTAGTAGTAGGGACAGACACATCTGTCTTTTCTAGTTTTGTCAGGCTAGCATTTATTGAATTTAAGTCTGGATTGGCTAAATCTATATTGATAATATCCATATGATTCATAAAAATTCAAATGTACTTCATATAATTTGCAAATCTTTATTAACTGGTTTATCCATTTTTGGATGAAGTATTTATGTATTCCAGAATTCTGATCTGTGTTTTATTTTTGCATCAGTCCCGAAAAATATAAATTAGAATGCTTGACTTTAAACCATCTATATGGTAAAAGAAATAAGAAAATAATGCAAGATTAATTATAAAGAACAATCAAAACAGTAAAAGGAGGAGTCTCTTTGTCAGGGAATTGTGCAACCAGTATCCAAATGGACTCAGAGATGCTGACAAGAACTTGTTGTTTTATATAAATAAATATATTTACAGTAAATAAGAGAGGCAAATCAGGAGCATAGTCAGGTAAATCAACACATCAGCAACATCATCAGATAAATCAACAGAGAGCATACAGGACACACAGGGCAAAAAGGCGGGAATCAAGGAGACTTCCCCTTTTTACTCAAAGCAACCAATCACAGCTTAGATTGCCTCATGCAAGGAGCCATCTCACCAAGCAATCAGCTATAACTGTGTGTTCTAACTCTTTACACAACCCTCACTGTTCCGGTTATAAATTTAACTATCTTGGCACTCTTATAGGCAGTAAACTTCATTTACTGAATTTGTGTCTTTAGATTCATCAATGTACTTTTAAACAATAAATGTGCAACCTGTAAAAGTGTGGACAAACGTATTTTTTAAGCTGAATTTTGGAATGTTGGACATTTTCTTATATTACCAGCTTTGTATTTCAAGATTGTTTTAGTGGATGAAGGGTTAATTTGTCATGTTGAGAATTTAATTTGTTTGAATTCTTATTTTTTTAAAAAATCTTTGGAAAAAGCATGCATCAAGTATTTATATAACCAAGAAAGATGAGTGAGACTGATACACTTGTACATGTAATTTAAGGGATATTTTAAAATGCAAAAAAAATAAGGAAGGAGTGCTGAGCTGGAAAACCTAGATGAATTAATTTTCTTCTTCTGATTTCCAATGGGGATTATAAATTATAATTTCATGTTCATGAATGGAAATATAAAAATAGAGTCATCTATTCTGTTCTCATCTACTCCCACACAGATCATTCAATCTGGTTTTATAGAGAGGAATGCAATGGTGGGAAATTATTCTATGAAAGAGAAACCTGCACCTGAGAAAGCTACATTCATAAGGCTCCAACTCTGACAGAGTAAACCATATATTAATACAGATGAATATTAGTCATTTTGAAATTTCTGGTGACTTCCCTCATTGGCAAGATTCTCACGATTTCTCTTCCATGATCTGTGAAAAACACGGAATGTTAATTTGGTTGCAAAGCTGAAACTACTGAATATTTATGAATTAAAATAGCCTTGACATGTGCAGATTCTTAATCAACCATTTTTTTTGTTTTTTTTGTTTAATCCCTATTTAGTTTTTATGCTTCTTGACTAAATTTATTGTTCTTTCATTGCCTGCTTCCAGTAAAACCAACAATTGCTGCTTTACAAGCAGACTCTCCACACCTGCCCCAGACTTTTGGCACTGTACCCAGTCATGTCACAGTGAGCAGGTTATTGCAGGACTCAGTTTAACTACATACATTTATGCTTCTCTCCTGATTTTCTGATTCCTCTCTCTGGCACGTGTTCATTTCATTCATGGCATTTCGGTTCCACCATTTATGTGCAATACTTGTCTAGTAGGGCAGATGTAAGCTTGTGACTTCTGTCAAACAAATGGATACTTGTCCATTCAGAAGTTTTCCTTCCTTCCTTCCTTCCTTCCTTCCTTCCTTCCTTCCTTCCTTCCTTCCTTCCTTCCTTCCTTCCTTCCTTCCTTCCTTCCTTCCCTTCTTTCCTCTCACCAGCTGAAACCATTGTTCCTCTTCTACTGATACATAGTTTTTTTTTTCTCATCAAGTGATGGCAGGAGTTTATTTTTATATGATTTGGCTTTGGCAGAGTTGTTATTATTATGTAGTCTACATCTATTATTATGTATTCTACATATAATAAATGTAGAAAATACTTCAGATTTCTGTTTTGGATGTTGTGGTAAGTATCTGTTTCTTTATCAGCAACTACTTGATTATATATCTTATTTAACAAGTTTATGCTCTTTCCTGTACATGCTCCTATATTGGCATCAGGGCATCCTATAATAGGCATCTTTCTCTGGAAGCAGACAGAAGAATATTTGTGTTTCATCCATAGTGGGAAAAGCATTTTTGAATTGCAGGACTGATTTCTTCGAGAGAGGCTTTGTAGTCTCCTCTTTTGAAGTATCTTAAAGCCTTTTTTTGCAGAAGTGTATTTATTATTTCATAGACCCAGTTAGCCAGCATGAGCAAGGACCACATGCTCATGTGATAAAATAAATTTATTTTGATACCCTGCCCACATCAGTTATTCATATAATACCATACAATACCAGAGGTGAGAGACTGGGAGCGGAAGAGCAGAGAATGGTCCCAGTTCATAAGACTGAATACAGATCTAAGAGGACAAGTTATTATGGGCTGTATCAGTGGATAAATCAGTCTGAAGCAGGAGATTCTGTTATATCAGATTAAACTGTGTTTTATAATTCCACCATCTAAAACAAATTGCTATATAAATCTATGTTTTCAATTTAAGCAATTGATTGACCTAGTCTGGCACAATACAAATTGTTTATGTGATGCATTTTTTTTTTAAAAAAAGGGAAAGTACTTATTACACATGCTTCCTAACTTTCATATCTGATCAGTTATGGAAAGCTTTACAAATTCAAACTGTGTAAATAAGATATTCAACTGTAAGCTGCACTACTTTGCACTGCCAGTGTAACACTTTTTTTCTCACCTTAAATGTGGCTTATAAATACCTGGGAAGATCCTGGAAAAGATAATCAAACAACAAATCAACGAACACCTAGAGGCAAACAAAGTCATTACTAAAAGCCAACATGGGTTTGTCAAAAATAGATCATGCCAGACAAATCTTAATGCATTCTTTGACCAAGTGACAAACTTAGTGGATCAGAAGAATGCTGTGGACATAATTTACTTGGACTTCAGTAAGGCATTTGATAAAGTAGATCACTATCTACTACTTGACAAGATAGAAAAATGTGGTGTAGAAAGCACCACCACCAGATGGATCCGTAGCTGGCTGACCGGCCATACTCAGCGTGTGGTCCTCAATGGAACCGCATCTACATGGAGGGAAGTGTGTAGTGGGAAGCCCCAGGGCTCTGTTCTGGGCCCAGTACTCTTCAATATCTATATCAATGATTTGGACGAGGGGATAGATGGGGAACTCACCAAATTTGCAGACGACATCAAGCTGGCAGGAATAGCCAACACTCCAGAAGACAGGCTTAAGATACAGAAGGATCTTGACAGACTTGAACACTGGGCGCTATCTAACAAAATGAAATTCAATGGTGAAAAAAGTAAGGTTCTACATTTAGGCAAGAAAAACCAAATGCACAGGTATAGTGTAGGGGGTACCTTGCTCAATAGTAGTAACTGTGAGAGGGACCTCGGAGTCCTAGTGGACAATCACCTAAATATGAGCCAGCAGTGTGCTGCAGCTGCCAAAAGTGTCAAGCTATTTTCCAAGGCACGTGAAGGCAGGACAAGAAGCAACGGGTGGAAACAAAGCAAGGAGAGAAGCAACCTAGAACTAAGGAGAAACTTCCTGACAGTTAGAACAATTAACCAATGGAACAACCTGCCTCCAGAAGTGGTGAATGGTCCAGGTTTTTAAGAAGAGACTGGACAGCCATTTGTCCGAAATGGTATAGGGTTTCCTGCCTGAGCAGGGGGTTGGACTAGATGACCTCCAAGGTCCCTTCCAACTTTATTATTATTATTATTATTATTATTATTATTATTATTATTATTATTATTATTATTATTATTATTATTATTTGTGTAAAGTTGAATTTATATAAATCAGGTCTCCTACAACCTGGGAAACCTCTATATTTGTTAAATAAATGTATGTTTTGGTGTAAACACCATTGATTTCCAGAAAACAATAAATCTTTTGAGATGAATATTTGTCTATTGTATTTATCTTTATATTGTATCATTTATAAATTTTCTTTCAACATTTTGAATTTTACGTGGTTTTTACTTTCCTATTTTTTTTCAGCAGTGCTGTGACTTAGGATATCATGCCAGCCTTGGTAGGGCACTTAGAACATTCCTATCAGCAGAGCTGAATCTAGAACAATCAAAGCATGAAGGCCTGGATGCCATTGAGAATGCCGTTGAAAATCTGGATGCCAACAGTGACAAGCAGCGTCTGATGGAAATGTGTAACAGTGTTTTCTGCCCACCCATGAAGTTTGAGTTTCAGCCCCACATGGGTGACATGGTTAGTTTTTTCCTCCATTTTCTGTTTTCATTGCAAACTTCACTCCAGACATAATTAAAAAGTCTGTATAAGAAACAGAAAAAACTATAATCATGATTGGCTAAGGATTCTACAGCAATATGAACAATCCTTAAGTACTGAATGCATGCTATAAGTCCAATTAGCTTAGCTGTGCTCATTGTGATGCAATGCTCTTCCAGTTTCCAAACAAACACCTATTCCATATTCACTGGGGACATTTCTGTATATATACAGGTAGCTCTAGGTTAACAACAGTAATTGGGACCAAAATTTCTGTCACTAAGCGGTGTGGTCATAAAGCACAATGTCACATGACTGCATTGTTTCTGCAGTGGCAAGTCCCCATTGCCACAATTAACTGAATCCCATTGATCATTAGGCAAGGAATGAACCAAGGTCATTCCTGGTTTGGTCCATTCTAGCCACAAACCTCTGTAAGGGAAATGATTCCCTTTTCTTGAACTCTCCCCACACACTTATCTCCCCTCCGTCTTCTGCCCTTTTGGTTTATTCCAGTGTGTGAGCCTAACCATTGTATAAGGTAAACTGTGGTGTATGACTAGTTGTGAACATCCAGGCAATTGTTGTTTATTGAATTTGAATTAAAAATAATTTGTTTCCTGGTTTATTTAGCAATCCTTTGTTCTATGGCCCAGTGTAGATATCTCATACCTGATTATGAGTTTTAACAAAAGTGAAGAACTAGAAGCAAGTGTCTGGAAAGTTAAAAAACAGCCTATTCTTTTCTAGGTATTCCAGCTTTGTGCCCAGCAACCAGTGCAGAGTGAATTGGTACAAAGATGTCAGCAGCTGCAATCTAGGCTATCCACTCTGAAGATTGAAAATGAAGAGGTAAGAACCCAAACTCCACATCGCTGATAAAAATTTCCCTCTTTTTATTGATACATCTCCATATTCCTCTTTTTCCATGACATTTAGCCTAAAGCCTGACAGCATGTATTTAGTACCCATTCTGGGCTGGACATCAGTGGACCAACATCCACATTGGTGGGCAGGGTAAGATCTCTATCAATCTTCCAGTGTTAGAGAAGACTATATGAAGTTAGAGAAGATGTAGTTTAGCTATGAGGTCCTTGCCCACCTAAACATCTAAAACAGGTATGTCCAACCTGTGGCCAACAGGCCACGTGTGGCCCTGGATAGCTAATCACGCAGTCCCACAAGATCTCAAAATTATAATATTATTATGTGATTTATATACATTAACTATATTAAATATTTTATACACAGCCCAAGAAATTTCCTCTTCAATCATTACAGCTCAGGCAAGCCAAAAGGTTGGACACCCAGGACCTAGAACATCTAAATTGGCTAAATCACATATAAAAAATGCTTTAATACCACCTTTTTCAAAACAAGCAACAGCAGCTAGCAGTCAAAGGACATCATGAAAAGTCCTTAATTATACAATACATGGATAGACACAGCCATAGTTTCAGATGTGAAACTGTGAGCATCCTAGACCTAGAAGTTAAGTCCAAATACACTAGAAGCCTGGTACTCAGACAAATCAACCATCAACAGGCACATAGAGACAAACAACATCAACATACATTCAAAAGAGAAAATCAGAAAGCTGAAAGATCACAACATCTACTTACCCACAATCAATACCCAGATAAGCAGACATTAATATCAATATTAATACTAAACCAACAACTAAACAACCTGTGTAATTCAATCTTTCTTGTCTTCTGTGGGCGGCAAAGTCAGGCACAAGTGACTGGAAGCAGGAGATTGCCAGTGCTTCTTTGGGGTTAGGCACATGTCACCTGCCCTAAAGATGGTGTATTGAAATCCCTCTCAAAAAGGAGTTGCTCTAGATCTAGAAATCATGTCCTAGAAATAGGACATGATCCCTCTCATGGTATATCAGATACATAATTAGATTTGTTCTTTCTCAGCATCTCTACAAAAGGTCTTTATGTTGAAACAGTATCTAATATAGGATTAGTTATGCTTCAGCCTCACTTTTTGTTTTTTATTTTTCCTTCTTCATTTTCTATGCCAGGTTAAAAAAACAATGGAAGCCACACTACAGACTATTCAAGATATTGTCACTATTGAAGATTTTGATGTATCCGATTGCTTCCAGTATAGCAATTCTATGGAGTCTGTAAAATCCACAGTTTCTGAAACCTTCATGAGTAAGCCAAGCATTGCCAAGAGACGGGCCAATCAACAGGAGACTGAACAGTTCTACTTCACAGTAAGAGCCCTGAATTTTCATCATCTTTCATGTGTTAAAACAGTAATATTTTAGAGATGGAATATATTCAAAGTTCAGTCAAATGAATTTGGCTGGTGAGAAAAAAAAATCTAAAGCTGGTAATACTGAATTTTCCAATTTTGCTGAAATCAATATTTTTAAATATATTCAAAGATTATTTTGATACATATTTTCTTAAAACTTTACTAAAAACTGGTAAAATTCCATGCCTAATTTAGATAGTACAACAGAGCAAATGAAAGCAATCATCAGCAGGCTTCTAGAAAAAAAAATGCACATGCAGTTGAGTATAATGGAAACATTTCTTCTTAATTCTGTACTTAAAGTTCTGAATGACTGGATGTTTACTAAAGAAAATGTGTGTCTATCGTATTCCACTGGAATTGTCTACATTCAAAGACAGGGTAGAGTTCCACAAGGAACTCAGGACCTGCAGGGGAGGCTGTGCTGGGCCCATCTTCTAAGACAACTTGGATTGAGGCAGCCAGATATTAATTAAATCCAGTGCTTTTTTTGTTTAAAAAAAAAAGGTGCAGGAACTCACACACATCATACAATTTGCCTTGCCTACCCGACAAGGTTCCATCCAAAAAAGGTGCCGGAACTCCGTTCTGAGCGTTCTGTGAGAAAAAAAGCCCTGACTAAATCCCTGAGAATGCTCACGTCTCAAGATTCAGAGAGAAGCAGAAGTGCTCTGTCCCTAGGAAAGGATCCTTGGAAATAATTGATCAATTTACAGCCAACTTTTAAGCAGCAGCTGATGTTAGGTTGAAACTCTGGAGGTAACATTAGGAAAACCTTCATTTGAGAACAGAGTGTGATTAGAATACTGTCAGTATCAATCTTGTCATTCTGCTTATTCATTCCGGATACACAGCTTCTAATCCTTGATGTGTTTCATTTCTTGTATACATTTCAACCAGTCAGCAAGACAGAAACTGACACTCCCTCAGTTGTTGCCTCTGTGATGTGGCCTGTGGCCTATTATTTGGACTTGCTTCATCTCCCTTCTTAATTTTCCCCCAAACAGCCAACTGGTGGAATGTGGCCCCATGTGAATTGGCACATATGTAAAGAAGCTTTGCTTCATTGCTTTGTGGCTGCATGTTTTAAATTGCTATGGTCCTCTTATAGGGATCATGGGACTTTTAAAAAGTGCTGCCTACTCTGCAAATTACTTAAGCAGATAAAGTGGTTTATCCTGGATTTGGTTTAGTAATAGATTTATTGGAGAGTATATCATTCTTTTAGATAAGAAATAAAAATACTTCAAAAGCCTTATTAAATTAGAAGGTTTGAATGGAAGATGAATGTAACCCCCCCCCCAAAAAAAAAGGATTGATTCATTTAACAAGCAGTTGAGGTCTCCTGAGTGTCAATGGTTATTAAATGAGCTTCCATGTTGTTGTTTTTAGGAAAAACTCAACCCTTTTCAAATAAATATGAATTTATCAGTGCATTTTTTTCTTCACATTGTATAACTATTTTTGCTCTCAACCAATGGCAGTGACATTAACCTTCTGCCTCTAGGAAATGGATATGCCATTAGTCATGTCATATTCATATATCCAGGATAAATAAACTTCCATATGATCTTCCAGCTTACAGGTACCCTTAATATGAATTTCAGGCTTTAGTTAAAAGTATCATATGATTTATGCAGCCTGAAAATAGTTGTGACTGAGCATTAATGGTGTGAGAAAATAAATGCAAGGAAACTAGAACATGAACTATTACATTACTGTGCATTTTAATATGATACACTTTTGTGAGCAAGGTAAAAGACAGTCTACCTAGGTTTGCAGTGTTCCTAGGTGGATTTTATGTTAGGTCTGAAGAAGAAAGGTATTACATTATACAAGCCTGTTCTGTCAGCTCACCGGATTAGCTGATCTGGCCCATTATCAATTTTTCTATGCTTTGGGGAATCTGTCAGAATTAGAGGGCGTAGAATGCTTTTAGTATTTCAAAATGTCCTTTGAAGCTCAGAATCATCTTTATTGAATGACAGACCATGAGCAAACAGGACCCCTTGGGGCAATAGATCTATTAGGATGATTCACCCCAGAGCTTAATGGATCCTGAGGTTTTCTAGAGGGCACTTTGGGTATTGCCCAATGACTGTGGAGGCAACCAGTGATCTTTTTCTTACAGGCTACTTTCTACTCAAGAATACCAACTGGGTCATTAGTCCTCCAAGGAAATGCAACAAATGAAGTAAAATTATAGCGAGATAGGTGGTAAACAAATTTAATAATTTTTATATTAATAAATAAAATACAATATTGAAAACTATAAACAAACACAACCAAGCACTGATACATGCTTGAGTTTCAGCTTACATAATGGCAATAAAATATCAACACCTGTATATTCTATGCTATTTTGGTTTCCTGCTGGTTCCTGATATTTTAGGACAGAGGTGAAGACAAGACACCTGCAGAGCAGTTGTGACGCTTTTTCATGTTTCTTCACACATAGTCACTAATATTTGTTCAGAATTAGATGTTATTTGATAGAGCATGCCAAGTAACAAGAGCAACATCTTCTAATATCAGCTAATATTCTTTTGAGCTCATGGAATCTGAAGAAATTAATAAAACCCTGTATAGTATAAACTTTGCAAGAGGCACAGTGGCTCAGCAGCTTAGAAATGCTGGATGTGTTGGTCAGAGAAGATTGGCTGTCTGCATTCCAGCAGTTCAAGCCCTAGCATTGCGTGATAGAGTGAGCTCCCTCACTCGCTTCAGCTTCTGCCAACCAAACAGTGCCAGACCAACCTGAATGCGATGCAAAAAATGATGGAGAAAAATCCCTAGATGACTCCAACACTTCCACAGAACATCATTAACTGCTTTGTGTGCAGAGCTGGTTTACCCATTGTGGTGCACCCTGGATAGTGCATGAGCATGAGCTGAATGAACTAGCAATCTTAGCCAGCCAAACATCTACAGTGTAATAACATTATAGATACCTAGCTTTCATGATGAATAGGCTAAATAAATGTATAAACTCTGGTCTGGAGCCATGTTCAGCCTAGCACTTTTTAAGTGGCTGAAGGGTACCTAGTTGGATTTGAGAAGTGACTGATTACTGTCTGAGAGAGTGGAATGCCATAATTCTTGAAAGAGGTCCTGATATGCCCTCTGTTTAGCTGTCTCTGGGGCTTCCACCTAATATTCAGTTGCTCCTTTTTGGGAAGATTTGTTGAGGAATTTATGAGGAATTATATGTAGAGGAATACAGAAAGAATAAAAGTACCTGAGTCCTCTGAAACAGGATTGGTCACACTGGTGGCTGAACTTCAGCAGGTTCTGGATTGGGAAAATATGTCTCTCCTATTCCTGTTAAACTCTCAGTAGCACTTAACACAATCATGATATTCTTTTGAATAACCCATCTGGGATTAGAAGCAGATTTTATGGTGGGCCCACTTTTATCCGAGTTCCAGTCTGTAGTCATGGAGGAAATACTTCATCGTGGAGAACTACAGGGCTCAATTCTCTTTCTGGTGTTATTTAATATCTACAGTATATAAACTAAGCCTCAAAGAAAGGTAAGCTGTTGTTTTGGGATAAAGTATCATCACTCAGCTATATATCATAACCCCCAGCCAGACCAGAAATGCTGTGAGGTTTTGAATTGGTGTCAGGAGTTCACAAGGAACAAAGAAAACTGAGACTAAATTCCTGCACTGTGGAGCTGCTATTCAGTTTTCTAATGTGTATAATACAAGTTTGTATCTGTGAGTGTCCGTCATTGATAACCAAACGGAGGTTTATTTCCGAATTGCCCTTGTATCTTCACCCCTTGAAACATTGTTTTCAGTTGACATTCTGGATAGGCTCACTCTGCAACAAACTATATGGGGATGCCTTTGAAGATGCCTTGAAGGCTATGATTGGTGCAGAGTATGGCAGCTAAGATGGTTATCGTATTAATTTTGATAATGTATTGTGCATATTGCCTAGAATTATTAAATTGAGGCATTATAAGCAAGTTTAATAAATAAACCAAAGTATAGCATCTGCCATCTTGGAAATACATATCTTCTTAATTTGGTTTGCATTAATGTTTCTAGTAATGAGTCTATATTGTGAATTCCAAGTTTAAGATATAATCCAAAACAGATGTACTTGTGACTTAGGTTTCTTTTTGAAGCCGGCAGGGTTTATTTCTAGATGTATGAGATTGGGATCTGTTTTAACATGCAGCTGCAGCAATATTTTCCAGTGTGTGACTTAGATCTCCTCATGCAGTCAGCATCATATGTTAAATATGGATTATGAGGGAGATAGTTACAGTTATGGATATTGTTGGATTTTAAGAGACCTTTTAAAAACTATTTTAATCATCTGAACTCTATAATGTTCAGATGTATTAACAGAAGTAAGCTTGCCAATTGAAGTAGCATAAAATATATATTTACAAATGAATCTGAAATGACGGTTCTTTGAAACTGCATAATGTAAGCAACCTCAGCTTTTAAGTATAAGGGACAAAGAAGAGTATTTCTTTCTTTATACTTTAATAGTAGCTATTCAAGATGGCACCAAAAACCCATATTTGTTTAAAAAGTCATATTGGAGGATCTCTTGAGAAAAAGAGAACCTGATATTTATTTAATAGGTTTCCAAAGAAGAAAAAAAATTTATTTTATTACGACAAGATGGAGGGTGTGACTTAAATTTAATAAACTAATTGGAGTTAGGATGGATTTTCTATTGATTTGACATATGTAATTAAAAGAAAGTTCCTGTAGAAGAAGGAGAGGCAGACTTTGGGACAGAGTTAAGAGAGGAATCAACCTGGAGTCGTTATATTACCACAAGCAATCCAAGTCTTTTTGAATTCTGTTAACTCTTATCTAGTGCCAATATGGTGCTCACCATTAAATGACTAGATTTCTATGTATAGGCATCAGCAATTAATCAGTTAAACTGGAACTTAACATGTGGTCCTGATTCTTCATGCCTAAT